ACCATGTGGAGGCTCACTATTCCAAGCAACTGCAAGTTCGGTTCTGTCACTGTTGGGAAGTGCCGATCATCGATGTATTAGATGGGATCTGGACGCCAACCACAGGTTCTATTGTTTCTGTCCAGGTGTGGACAAGGACACTGTCGGAGACGCGTTCATATGGCAGTGGACAGGGAACCTGCCATAACTCTTCCCTCCGATATCTTTTATTCTAGGGATAGTCTTCCATCACCATCATTCGTAGTCAAAATCATTCCTGATCGAGCGCGATCCAAATACCTCCATGATGACCAATACCACCTGTCTCAAATCGATATTGACAGACACAGGTCAGTCCCTCCGGTTCCTCACCTCCTAACTTTGGAGGGAGGGATGGTCGACCATCTGGATCTATTGTCCATGAACTTGACATTCTGAAGAATATTACCACTTTGACTTCAGTGTTCGAGTTCGAAATCTTTTGACTCAATGTCTATATGTAAGTAAATGAAGTCTTATTGCATATATGGAAACTAAGAACTGCCTTGTCAATTTCCTTTGAGTTACCTACTTGACATTTCAAGTGTTACATGTCTGCTACTGTTGCCCATTGACCAGATGATTCTGGTCCAGTAGGGCTTTTGTCTCACTCTATGGACAAACATCTCCTGAGAGGACTCTGTATTACCCATCCTCCATGTAAACACATTGTTTCTCAATGGTCTATACATCATTCTAAATTCACATGGCCATTCGAGCCCATTCATCTTCAAATGCAAAATTAATTACTCTCAAACAGCCTTCTTAGTGACTGTCATCTCTGCCATGGGAACCTGCAGCTTGGACAGATGGTATCTGATCTACCTGTAATTCATTTTTCCTGATATAGTGGCTTCCTACTTGATTGTCTCATTCCTAACCTAGTTGGTTAGTTGTCATATTTATCTATGCTTCATCTTACCATGATTCTTCAGATCACCATCATTTCCTCTAGAGCACATGCTCCACAAGATGCTCACCAGCGTTTGTTTTGGACACTACCACAGCTTCTGAACAAATGACAGGTTCTGTTATGCTTTCATGGTTCTCATTTCAAAGATCCACCTTCGTCATATCCATCTGTAGATCAATGGTCCGGGCTGTATCTATTGCTTACAAGTTGTCAGGCGGGTCACCATCTCATCAGCTTTAGGTTTCCTCCACAGAGCGCCTTCTACCATGACTGCATCCTGAGTAGAATCGAGTTTCTTGACGTCTACTGTGTAACTATATGAGCCATGCCATCCACCTTTGCGGAGCACTACCACCTAGACGCAGGAACATGCAATAACACCCCACCCATCTTCCCCTCTGTCCGTCACGGGTATCTTATCATGGTACAACTCTCGTGCCCGGCAGACAAATTGCAGAAACTGAGGGGAATCTCAGGTGGGAGGAGCATATGCCTTTTGGGGGATCGTCCCATAAAATTGTTACTTTTAGCTGTAGAAGATTACTTTTAGCTCTAGAAGACTCCGAGAACATCAGCGCAGGCGCACACTAAACCCATATGTGTGAGTTCACAGAGGTCCACTCGAAGAACCATAGTTACAGGTAAGTTACCTTTCTTTCTTTGTTATGCCTTACCTTATAGAGTCATTATTTTTATATTTTTAAAATGTTTATCTTTTCAATTTGCCTCAAGACAAAGCAGTTGCCAGGTTTGACTAGCAAAAGGTCTTTTGAGCCTTGGGAAGGTGGAGGCGTAGGGAGGGAAGGAGAAAGAAGCCCTGGGAGGGGTGGGGTTAAAGTAGTTATGGCCCAGATGTCTTTATGACCTTCTGATGATTTGGATTACAAACCCTGTCTTCCCTTACCATTGGCCATGCTGTGCAAGACTGATAGGTGTTGTATGTCCATACAGTTGAGGGCATAACACTTCCCATTGCAGCTGTAAATCAGTTCCGCCTGTGCCCCCTCCCAAGGTCCTGGGGCTGCACACACCCACCCCAGAACCTTTTATGATCCTGCCTCCTCCCCAGAAAATTCTTTACAAAAATCAGGTTTCAAAGAGCAAAAACTTTTTTTAATTATTTTTATTTTGGGGGGTGTTGATGCTAAAGGGCTACATTGAGCCCAAGGAGGCTGCACGTTGCCCACCTCTACTGTAGCATCATTGGGCATTCAACATTTGTGGCAATGAGCCTTATGGATGCTTTTTGACAAGGAAGCGGATGTAGCTCCCCCACTGCCCAATTTCATGAATGATCCATCTCTACACGGTGCTCGGGAATGGGTGTAATTGCAGTTTCATTTAACATGATGCAGCATTGGCTCTGCTGATCAGGTTGCTGAGGCTGCTACTGTCCCACCTTCATTGTGAGTAGCCTGCTGCTTGCTGCTTTGGGAATCTGCAGTTTTTTCACATCCTAAAGAAAAATGACAGGAACCAAAGCAGGGGGCCAATAAATCCCTAATGGCTGTTGTCGTGTGCAGTACATTTACCTTCTTAAATACTTTGTCTTAAGCTGGTTTTCATTGTCTTTCCCCTTCATAGTGACTGAACGTGCCAATCATGCTAAGGATAATTTATTTGAAGTTAATCTAGAGAAATATGATGGGTAAGTTATTTCTTTCACAGATTAATCTCTTTTTAGGACTCTCTCTCCCTCCCTCCCCCCCCCTCTCTCTCTGCGTGTGTCTGTGTGTAGGTGCTTTACGAGTATTTATACAAAGCTGGAATAGTGTTCAGTAGGTCAGTAATCCTCTTTAATGTCCAGAGTGCCATGACGTGCTTGCTTCAGCCACACCCATTGTTGCCTCTTTTTATGAATGTAATTGTAGTCTCAAACATCTGCTTAACTTCTTTTCCTTGTCTGTTCTGTTCAATCACAAGGAGACTTCAAAAGAACCAGCTTTCATTTTACTTTGCATCCCCTTTAGAGCAAATGAGATGTCCTTAACATCTCTGGCTGCCTATCTGGAAGCTGAGTCATGGCAAATGGACTTCTTTCTTATTAGGCTGAAAGAAGTACTCATCCAAGTAGCTTCTTCAGAGGAGAGTTGTTAGGGGATCCCTGATATATCCTCCACATTAGTTTCATTTCCCCTTGGTCTGAAAATCTTCACATATATGTCTGGCTGCCTAGTTGCTGAGGTAGCTTCTCCCTGACCTTTCCTGTAAATGGAGAGGGAGTGAAGCCATTCACAAAGTCAGCCATCACTTCCAGACTCAGATGCCTCCCCATGGGACAGATTACTGCAGTTTGCCCCTCTCTCAACTTTCCCACCCTTTCCTCTTATCTCCAGGAATCGACTGAGGGAGTGGGGCTTTGTGGAGACATTGGGGGCAACCAAGGTGCCCCTGCATACTGAACTGGGCCATTGAGTCAGGGGTTTCTCTCCCCCGACTTCTGTCTTAGTGAAACCAGTCAGGCAAGTTACCATAAATTATAGTTCTGCTTATGTTTCATGTCCCACCTGGAGGAGGAGCACCTGGCACTGGCATGAGTGTTGTATTGATATGAGGCCTGTTTCTCTAGCAACAAAGCCCTGCCTGAGAGCTCCCCTGTTCCTACCATTCCCTCAGATGATGAAAACACTAGCATGCCATAGAACAGTGACGGGCAACTTCCCAACACCCACATGACACATACGCCCAGAGGCTAGTTTTGGAATCAACATTTGTGATTGTCAGGCCACATCTCTGGAAATGGGTGGCAGCCATTTTCCTTCGCTGCAGAAGCAAAACAACAAAAGCATATTCTTCCTTCCTCAAAGAAGGAAATGCTGTTGAATGTTGGTAGCCCCAACAGCAAAATCACTGGCCACCTCTGAGCTTCAGCAGCGGTCCTATAGGTTCTAGGCCTAGGGGGTCTAGTGTGGCCCTTCTTCCTTACCAAAGTTTCTCATCCTTCTATTAGAAAGAACACTCATTCGAGTGAGGACTAGACTTGGCTTGTGGCATTCATGGCAACCCCACTGGACTTAACAAAATACTCTTGCCTGAGTGGAGTGCAGAATGTATGGCTTGAAGATATCCTGCCATTCCAGTCTGGTAATTTGGTTACATCTATGAAAAACAACAATGGCTTGATTACTACCCAATGAAACAAAAGCCTTCTACTAAGTCTTATGGTAAACATATACAGTGCCTATCAAGTGCATTGCATGTGGATATCTTGGCATACAGGCCATCCCTTCCAGGATACCCTATAGCGATTTCTGAGTGCTCTAGGGAAAGGAAAAGAGCTCTAGACAAATAGTTGTGCAAACTAATTTCTGTTCTGTCCTTCTCATGCCTGCAACTGCTCATTGTAATCTGCCAAGACACGTTGTAATCTGTCTAAACTAGTTTGTGTATATAACAGAGTTTCTCTATTGTTGGTTGAGGAAGGTGACGGTGAATCCCTTGTGCACAAAATATCTCTTTCCCCTCCTAAAACCCACAACTCAAGCTTCATGTACTCACAGAACTCTGTATCCTTGCGACTGCATCTCCGAATGCTAATTCAGGACTGCTGCAGTCCCTGGTTATACAGAAATTAATTAAAACTGCCAGCTTGTCTGCTAATGTAAGGGCTTTCTAGCAAAGTCACAATTCTTTGGGCATTAATCTTTCACTAATTACTACAACGCTCAGTCAAATAGTATTGAGATTTTAATTATCCCGGGCATGGCAGTGGTTGCAGGAGGCGACAGGCATCTTGTACTATTCTGAATGCACTGAATGATGTTGGAGTTGTTACAGGCAGGTCGGCCAGTGGTTACAAGCAGACAAATTACCAACATTCTGTACCCGTCTGGTGTCATTTCCTGTTGCCTTTGTTGCCCTTTCTGGCTCATCATTGCCATAAGCAAGAGCATTGGATCCAGACACTTGGAGAGGTTAAAATCTGAATTGGGTAGATTTGGGATGGAAGTCAAACCAATACATGCCCCACTTCTATGAAGTCTATCACAGTGTCAGTCAGGAAACAAGGTCAATTTATCTCTTCCTGACATGCCAAATATCTCAGAGCAGATGATAAGACTTTGAATGCAGAGCTGGATGAAACAGTGACTTTCCTCCCAGCCAAATGAGGCCTGTAGAGCTCTCATGGTGGGATTTTATGGCCAGTTATTGAGCTGCTGGAGAAATCAGCAAACTGTAATGAAATAGAGCCAGATTCTATTTGAAGAACAACAGTGTATATAAGGTTTCAAGGGGGTCGGGCACTATCTGTCCTTTCACAAATGATGACCTGAGAAGCAAAGACAAATTATTTTTCCCCCACCCTCCTATCTACAAAGATACATCATTTCCATACAAAACTTGCCTCCAGGGGATTTTACCCCAGGAGAGGCGTTTTTTAGCTTTGATTTTTCCATTGAGTGGTTAAGTTTTAGGCTCCACTCTGACTTTTAACACTGGACTCCAGCAAGCCCTGCTTGCATTTGTCCCCTTAGGGTGCTGCATTTAAGGGCAGTACAAATGGGTGTGTGGACTTTGTTTTTAATGTTGTTCAAGTCTGTTCTTCTGTTTCCCAACACATGACATTGGTTCAGTAGGAAATCATGGTTAACAAAGCACATGCTCAAATATGCATGCAGGATTTTCTTGTGAGTAGTAACACTGGATCATTAAACCAAACTCTAAACGTATATGCGCTTAACCTGGGAGTAAGTCCTACTGAATTCAGTGTGACTTACTTCTGAGTAGTCATGTGTAGGATTATAGTTCACAATTAAGCAGCCATACTTTCTTTAGGTAAACGGATTTATATGCTACTCTCTCTAAATGAATAGGGTACCCAAAGGACCGAAGACTGCTTGCTCCACTTCCATTCATTCCAGTGAGGCTCCTACAGCACGACATACCACTGGGTTTAACTCTTATTATATATCTTAAAAGTAAACATGTTTTCTTTGCTGTGAACTGCCGACTGTCCATATAACTTAACATTTTCAGTGCAGAAAATACCATTTTGTTTCAGTTCATGAGTGTGACCCACTTCCCATTCAAATCAATAACAAAATATCAAGGGAGCTAGATTGTCTGTGCTGAAGAAGTGTAATCAGTGCCAAGAAATTGCAGGAAATCCTTTCCTTACTACTAACTGGCCTAGTTTTAATTACATTTTCTGACTGCCTCCTATGTTACAGTCTCCAGGCAGTTTACAATCACAAATGAAAATAAAGTATAATTTTTAAATGAGCAATATACTGTATAAACGTCATCAACGTCAGCACCAGACGAATCTCCCTCAGGATGGCATTCCATAGTCTGGGGGCAGCTGCTAAAAAGGTCCTTTGTCTACAAGCCATCCCTCTTATCTCCTTGAGGGATGGCTCTTTCAGGAGGGCCCCCTGGCTTGATCTTAATTGCCCAGTAGGCTCATATGTAAGGAGGCGGTCCTTCAGGTATCCAGGACCCAAGCCGTTTAGGGCTTTATACATCAAAACAAGCACTTTAAATTGGGCCTGGGCAGCAACTGGTAGCCACTGTAATTCAAACAGAATTGGCCTGATGTGTTCCCTGGCGGCCTCACCACTCACCAGCCGTGCAGCTCGATTATGGACCACTTGCAGTCGCCAGACTGTCTTCAGAAATCTATACGGGTAACATCCCATATAGATTACAGATCACCAGCCGTGCAGCTCGATTCTTGACCACTTGCCGTCGCCAGACCATCTTCAGAAATCTATACAGGTAACATCCCATACAGATTACAGAGCATTGCAGTAATCTATATGCGATGTTACCAGTGCATGTGTAACTGTCAGGAGACTCTGCTCATCCAGGTAGGGCCATAGCTGGTATAATTTCTCCAACTGAAGGAAGGCGCTCTTGGCCACCAAGTCCACCTGGGCTTTCAGAGTTATACCAGGGTCCAGGAGCACCCTGTCCCTTAGGGGGAGTTCAACCGATTCAGGGCAGGAAAATTACCTTCCAGGCTGTCTGGTGAAGCATCCACTAACAGAACTTCTGTCTTGTCTGGATTGAGTTTCAGTTTATTAACCCTCATCCAGTCCATGATCAGGTCTAGACACGAGTTCAGCACAGAAACAGCCTCACCTGAATTGGTGGAAAACAAGAGGTAGAGCTGAGTGTCATCAGCATATTGCTGACTCCTCAGCCCAAACCTCTTGATGACATCTCCCAGAGGTTTCATATAGATGTTAAACAGCATGGGGGACAGTATCGAGCCCTGAGGAATTCCATGACATAAACGCCATGGGACAGAGCAAATGTCCCCCAGCACCACCCTCTGGACACAGTCAGCCAGGAAGGAGCGGAACCACCATAAAGCGTTGCCCCCAACTCCCAATCTAACCAGCTTATCCAGAAGGACACCATGGTTGATGGTGTTGAAAGCTGCGGAAAGGTCCAGGAGTATCAACAGGGTCACACTCCCCCTGTCTCTCTCCTGGCAGTGGTCATTGTACGCAGATCTTCCAATTAGCCAAGATAAGCAAGGATCGAGCAGAGTGGTGGTAGAGTGGACAGATCCAAGCACTTTGTCGACATCATCAGGTCCCATCAATTGAAACTCATCCATTAATACGTGACCTAAGCACAGCACACTTGACACTTCCTCTGATTCTGCACTAATGGTGGAGTCCAACCCACTGCGAATTTGAGTGATTTCCCTCCCAAAATGAATGGCAAACTCATCACAGCAAGCAGATGAGTGGTCCAGCACCTCCACCATATTTCCTGGTTGAAGAAGATCCCGGACCACCCGAAACAGCTCTGCTGGATGACATTCTGAGGAAGCAATACAGATGGTGAAACATTGTAGTTTCGCCAGCCATATTGCCATGAAATAATTCCAATAATGGGCTCTAAGTCGTGTTCGATCAGACTCCCAGCAGGATTTCCTCCACCTGCGCTCCAGCCGTCTCCCCTCTCGCTTCATTGCCCGCTGTTCAGATTTATACCAAGGACCTGTCTGGGCTCTGTGTACAGGCGAGGGTGCTTCGGCGTAATTGTGTCAACCGCCTGGGTCATCTCCCTATTCCATAGGGTGACCTGAGCTTCGACAGGAGCACCGACCGTATCAGATGGATAATCCTCCAGAGCATTCAGGAAACCATCCAGATCCATTAGTCTCCGATGGCAGATCATCTTAATAGATCCCCCACCCTTGCAGAGGAGAGCAGAAACTAATAGACTAAACTTGACCAGGAAGTGGTCTGGCCATGAAAATGGCGTCACAACCAGCCCTGCCACATCCCACCATCTTCCGTTGAGAAAACCAAGTCCAAAGTATGGCCCTTCTCATGTGTCAGGCTGGTGACACATTGAGACAGCCCCATGGTTGTCATGGTGGTCATGAAGTCCTGAGCCGCCCCAATCAAGATAGCCTCGGCATGGATGTTGAGGTCCCCCAGCACCAAACAATATAGATATCATTTGAAAGATACTTTGTACCTGCTTAGTGTCAGAACGGTTTCATATGTCCTAGCAGGCTGGTGGCAATCACAGATACTCCACAGAAGCAACACAAACACAACAGGCACATTATTGTATGGAGCAGCCTTCTCATGTGAGAAGCCTGAATGCTAGCATGGCCTATGCCTTGGAATCACTAGTTATGATGCTGAGAATTTTCCAGTCATAAAAACATCCATGAAGTGAACATTTTCCAAAATGATTTTTGTGAAGCCATATGATACCAGTACATTTCTCAGTGGACCTCTGCATACAACCAACTGTAGCACACAAAATAACATTCTGGAGGGATAACTTTGCATGCCACTTTAATCATAGCGGCTGCTGTCTTTGCTGCATAGGCTTGTCTTGTGTGCCTCCTAAAAATTACCTAGGCCAAGTGAAAGCTGCTTTTGTGCAGGCTGATTCCATACAGCTAGTGTAAACCTTTAAGGACTAACTGACATGAGCAGGAACTCCAAAACCCAGAAGGCTGTGCCCTTTTCTTGCACACTAAAGCAGGAGAAAATAGGCTGTCACCACACACACTAAAAGGAGTGCTGGTAGATGAGAGAGGGGTTAAGGTTGGGTTAAGGTTGGGTTTAGTATCAAATCCCCAGTGAATAGCCAGGCCTTAATATGAAGACAAGAATATATTTTATTAAAAATGACAAGGAGGCAATAAAAAAATTTAAAAGGCAAAATTTATGGCAACAGTGATTTATAAAAAGCAATCCAATAAAACCAATCCAATAAAACAATAAAGCAATAAAGTTAACCTAACTCTCTAATATTTACTTAACAGCACTGAAGACAACACAGCTTCTGAGGATAAGCAAAGGTCACTTCTGTGCAGCAAAACAAAACTGCAATGGAGCAAAGCACAATTAAGCTTCTTAAGCTCCCTTTATACTCAAAAAGTTTCCTTTTAGATAGTTCTTCAACGTGTCAGATCCCCTTCGCAAAACCTGCTGCTCTTTCCAGCCACCCCCGAAATCAGTTGAATCACTTCTCCCTAATTATGATGGTATCAGGACTAGAAAGGCAAAACAGACCTTCAGACTTACTGCTCACATGATAAGAAAGCAGGTGCTGTGATCTTTGGCAGCTGAAGAATACTTCAAGAGAAATAACACTTTCAGTCCTATCCCTGTCTCATTCAAGATGGATCCTGTTTCCCTAGTTTCTTTAGAGCTGCCAGAATAACCTGGGAGGGGGTTATAATAGACCATGATGTTGGACTATGGCAGTATTCTGCCCCACACTCCCTAAAGGGCACAAGGGGACCTTTGAGCAAAAGAAATAAAGAAAAATCCTAACACTTCGGGTAGACATGGGTACTGAAAACATGATGCCTGGGACTTATAGGCCATATTCTGCTCGTTTCTGATTTGGAGTGCAAACTATCCAGAGCTTGAAAAGTACCCAGAGCTAGCGGAGATATTTGGAAAATTTTTTATCCCATTCCCAAAATAAATTAGCCCAGGCACTAGCTATCTGGACATCTGCCTTATTGTCATGATTTCGTGATGCTTCTTGCACAGGGACAGATGAAGTGATGGAAAATGTTTTAAGCATGGCAGCAAGAAGATGTCAGTTCTTCCCAGCTTTATTCTCTGAATTTTTATTTTGAGTTACAGGCCTTTGCATTAAGCTAATCTAAAGAACTTGGTAGAGGAATGTAAAGCAAAGACTTAATAAAATTAATAGTGTCTTCTACATTAGAGCTTTTGACACATTCATTTATTTACTGTCAGTGCAAATTTTAATTTGTGCATTTTCTGGCAGCGTCATTTGTGTTGGTGGGGACGGAATGTTCAGCGAAGTGATGCATGGCCTGATCGGAAGAACCCAGAAGGATTATGGCATAGACCAAAATAATCCCAAAGCACCATTAGTCCAATGCAATATCAGGATTGGCATAATCCCTGCAGGTAAGAATTACAACACAATTAACTTTCATGCATGCTTCAGAAAAGCAATACTATATAAATATAAGCAATACTATATAAGCAATACTATATAAATTCTATTTACATAGGAACCATGACTGATGTGAAGAGCTGCTAGCCTGTTCATGCATGCTTCAGAAAAGCAATACTATTTAAATAGGTCAAATTCTATTTATATAGGAACCATGACCGATGTGAAGAGCTGCTAGCCTACAACCAGAGTGTTGATGTCAGTTGGCTAGTGTCCCTGATGTCTACTTGTTAATGTATGCAACTATGTAGGCACTGATGTCTAAGGCAAGTCTGGTTCTCTAAATGTCTGTGAACTGGAGCTCCCTTTGCCTTTCACCACATAGAGATGATAAACATTTCAGATCAAAAACATCCATCTCTGTGTTTATCCAAATCAATGAATTGCTCTATCAGTAGTTTCAGAGGAATCCATGCAGGTCAGAGGCTGGAGCTGGTGAAAATGATTCTGTTTTCCCCTCCTCAACATTTGTTGTATAGAGCTGAATGTGGGAACAAGCCTACTATTATTACACAATAGGATTTCATTGGGCATGCCCCAAAGAGCATGTTTCTGTTCAGATTTTGTTGACCTTCACTTTCTATGAGCTCCAGCCAGCCTGGCCAATGGTGAGGCATGTTGGGAGTAGTGATTCGTGAATTGATAGAGGGTCCAGTGTCTTCCAGCCCTGAAGTATGTGAGGTAGTTGAATCTTTGAACATTCCCAAAGACCAGGCCTTTTGTATTCCAAAATGGGATTATTGAGGATGGAGAGAGGAAACCAGCACCATCCTGCATGGTTGTTCCCTTAGAGTTACAGGAATTTAAGGCTAGTAGGACAGAAAAAAGTTATCCTTCATTTACCATGTGTTGGAATAGTGGACTCATAGAACTGAGCTTTATTTTAATTTTTAAAAGTTCTGTTTTGTCTTTTTGTGAATCAGAAAATTGGCACATTGTCTTCCATGGTTCATTAATACCCTTGATGTGCCTTCAGCGGCATGGTCCATTCTCACAACAACAAACCCTAGCCATCACATTTATAAATAAAAGCAAGGTTTGCTTGTAGGTAGGGATGTTCAGCTTTTGAGCATGTCATCTTCACTTTCCAGAGACAAAAGCTAAGCAAGAATGTTTCTGAAAGAGAACTTTCCATCTTGGTAGATGTTGCTACAATTACTTTTGTATTATTTGCCACTCTTTTACTAACAAAATACAAACCCTAGACTGATTTATTGCTTATGCAGTGATCCTTTTAAACTGGGAAATGCCTGTAAGGGGCCAGCCTAAACATTATCTATTTTGTCTCAAGTCCTGTGCTTGATTACCAAAGAATCCTCACTGAGCAGACATAGATAGGCTCCTGTTGTTTTGAATGAGGATCAGAGCCTGTCCTCCAAAAGGTTCCCAGTGTAACTTACTCTCCTCTCAAAAAAATGACAAGAAAATCAAGACAATATAGCACCACAGTATAAGAACAGTCTAAAAGTAGTCAGCAGGAAAAAAATACAAACCAGCTATTTACAGAGGAATTAAACCTCTTATTACAGACTGCTGAACCTAAGAGAACGTTAGCCCTTTCTCAACCTGATATGTCATTTGACTCTCACTCTGCCTTGGTTCTGTTTTTCCAATTCCACCATAGCTAGGTACAGTATAGGAAAGTATATCTTCCAGGGAGCCATAACCCCTGAATATTTAATTGCAGGAAAGACACTACAGTAGATGGAAATCCCATAAAATTATTTTGTGTTGTGAATGCAGCTGTATAGATGAGTCCTTTCCTGCAGAAACACACTGGGAAGCTGCAGACACTCAGATATGCAGAAAAATGCATTTATGGGCAATGGTTTGGAAATCTGGATCACTTCTCCATATCCCATAGCTGGTGTGTGCTAGAAACAGTATTCAGAAAGGGATGGCTGCTTAGATTCTCACTATGAATTTTATTATATTGGATGGGAATGAATGTCCAAATGAGCTATCAATTCAATTAAATCAGGGCTTTTTGGTTGGCTGTCAGGCTGTCATTGACTCTCGTTGTCCCATCTACAGCAGGAACATCCACTTGACTCCACCTTGATGTTAATTAACTTGCAGAGGATTTGCTGGAGTGTTGTGTAAAGAATGACCCAAGTGATTCAGCCTCTTATTTTCATTTAACTCACCATCTCTCTCCCGTCTGCCCAGGAAATCAGAATGATGCTTAGATACACACTAAGCCTAATTCTTTTGTTCCATTCTTGACAAATAGCACCAGCTTGACAAAAGGATTTTTGCAGACCTGTGATGCTGAATCAATCTCCCTCTACCTCTCTCTAGAAACATTGCCTTGACCTCCCTGCCTGGGTTATCAAGCAGACTGGGGGAAAGCAAACACTACTGCTTTTGCCTGTCACACTGCATAAAATGGTTAGCGAGTGAGAAGTGTGTTTCCTATTTGTTGTATTGAAAAGGTGGGAGAAAGCCAAATCTGTCTCTGCCAAGTCAATTCCTTGCCCTATACAATTTCACCGTTACTTTGACACTTGAGAGACATAGGTGTATGAGTCTGCTGCAGCAAAAACAACATGAGAATCTTGCGGCACCTTACAGATGAACACATTTGCTGTGTTATGAACTTTCATGGACTTAGTCAACTTCATCACTTAGACCACATGACCAGTAGTCAAACTAGACCCCATCTTGTTTTTATAATACATCGGAGCTAGGGAGGTTGTACTGTTCAGGAAAGGTGCCAGCTCTACCCTACCCCGATTTTTAAAAACCTCTTGAGAAGGACTGCTAAATGGGCAGCCTGGGTAGGTGGGACTGGTCCTAAAAATATTTCACAAGATGGTCCAAACTGCGATTCAGATAGTTAACCACAAGTTATTCACACACAAAACTGAGGGTTATTTATTATAGGTCTATGAACTCCTGAAAACAACACTCCTAAATGCTATGTAGGGATATTCCAGGAATAAATAAGATTATGTGATAGAGACTTTGATGAAATCATAGAATAAGGGGCCTGTAAGGCCATCAGGTCCAATCCCCTACTCAATGCAGTAATCCAAAGTATATCTGACAGATGCTTGTCTATTTTTTCCTTGAATGCCTCCAGTGTTGGAGGGCTCACCACCTCCTGAGGTAATTGATTCCCTTGTTGTACTGCTCTAATAGTTAGAAAGTTTTACCTGATATTCAACCAAAAGCTGGCTTCCTGTAACTTCAGCCCATTATTGCGTGTTTTGTACCCTGCAATGACCGGGAACAGAACCTTCTCCTCCTCTGTATGACTGTTTTTCAAGTAAAGGATGAACACTCTCATACTTTTATTTTAATTTTATTAAAAGTGAACTTTCATAACAAAATCTAGGATGCATTAAGTCTCATTATCTTATAAATGTCTGGAAAACCATTGTAAATAATTTAGAATTACAGGACTGAGATGAAATGTAGCCACTACTGAGATAAACTTAGCAAAGTTACTAGATGACCAAAAAAAAAAGGATTGCCTAAGCCATAGTAATACTTATTCAGGCTTTAAAGAGAAAAGGTAAAAAAACATTTTTATGTTTTCCTCTTTGATCACCTGAAGCAATTCTTTGTTACTATGAGTAACCAAACAGGTAGTTGCATACAAAGTTAGAATAGAAGGGTTCCATTTCCCAGCCTCTGGTTAATTCACAAAAATCAAACAATGCTGCTCTGCAAATTGAGAGCACAAGCTAACAAATTGTACCAGCCAAGGGATATTCAGAGGTCATTCTTCTAAACCAGAAATGAACAGCCTCAGACAACTTTGAGAAGCTTTATATCCGCCATCATTTCAGGCCTCTGGCCAGAATGATCTCCCAAGCCTCTGGTAGCTCACTGGGGAGGAAGGAAATAGATAAAGTGCAGTGGCAGAAAGAGACATTCAGTCTCTGGCCCTTCCCAGTCCTGGCTTTGACCCTGTCTACCACCAACATCAGCCCTTCAACATTGGTCTCCAACTGGGAATGCAGCCATAACCAGAAGAAAAGTATCCCACTCCTGTTCCACTTGACTTGGCCATGTTAGAGCAGACTCAAAGGAAGTGAAATGGATAAAAGCAAAACAGAAGCAAGTGTTGCTACCCAAATAGTATACCATGTTGCTGTGAACATTGTAACTCTTTTGAGATATAATAGGCCTTGAGCTTTCAGGCCCTGAACCAAGGCTTTGAATAATAGTACCTTTCTTAGGGTTGTCATAGGTCAAAAGTGACTTGATGGCACATAACAAAAAAAGAATAAGAAAAGAGGTTTAAAGTAGATTTTAAATGATTAACTTCCTGTATTGTTGTCAAATGATGGAGAAAAACTTATTCCTTTTCCAGGTTCAACAGACTGCATATGCTATGCAACAGTTGGTATCAATGATCCAGTAACATCAGCATTACATATCATTGTCGGTAGGTATCCAGCTCTGAATTTGTCATCTTGCTGTTGGGTTCATTAACACTCAGATTTTCAATAAGTGTATTTAATGGAATTTTTATCCAGGAGGTATAGATGTCTGTGGTTTACTGCAACTTATACCAGAGTGGCTGACCTTAAAAGGCTCAATACTATATTCATGCCAACTGAACTGTAAGGCATTATGCAATCTGGTGGGATGGTGGCCGTATTGGATTTAACGAAATCCCTGTTGCCCAGGTGGAATTTGAGAGGTGCTATTGACGTGACAAATGTGCCAGAGGGATATTCCACGTTGCCCAGGTGGAATTTTAGTGGTACACCATATCCTACAGGCTGGAATTGCTGTTTGGGGCAAATGCGGCAGCACTCATCTAATCTCTAACACTACTTTTATTGAACACAGGGAGAGGGAGATATATAAAGCATGCCTCGAGTGCTCAAGTAGATAGTTCAGTCACAAGTTAGATGGTGTTGGTTCCTTTCTAATAAACTCCACACACACCTGAACCCTATTAGACATCAGCTGTCACGGGTATTCTATATCCCTTGAACTGACCACCACACATCTTTTAATTATGTTTTATCTCAGCCTCACATAAGGAGCAAAAAATTTTACTGCTGTAGATTTGATGGGGGGGGAGGGGAGATTTAAAAGGTTTAAAACATCAACAATTGCTGGATCCATTAGTTTACTGTGGAACATAAGATATGTTATAAGACAGTGTAGGGCTTGGAAAAGTTACTTTTCTGAAATACAACTTCCAGGGCTTCCAGCAGCATTTGTTGTTGTTGTTGTTGTTGTTTAGTTGTTTAGTTGTGTCCAACTCTTCGTGACCCCATGGACCAGAGCACGCCAGACCCTTCTGTCTTCCACTGCCTCCCGGAGTTGGATCAAATTCATGTTGGTCATTTCGGTGACACTGTCCAACCGTCTCGTCCTCTGTCATTCCCTTCTCCTCTTGCCTTCACACTTTCCCAACATCAGGGTCTTTTCCAGGGAGTCTTCTCTTCTCATGAGATGGACAAAGTATTGGAGCCTCAGCTTCAGGATCTGTCCTTCCAGTGAGCACTCAGGGTTGATTTCTTTCAAAATAGATAGGTTTGTTCTCTTTGCAGTCCAGGGGACTCTCAAGAGTCTCCTCCAGCACCACAATTCAAAAGTGTCAATTCTTCGACGGTCAGCCTTCTTTGTGATCCAGCTCTCATTGCCATACATCGCTACTGGAAAAACCAGCAGCATTACTACTACAGTATGTTGACTGGGGGATCCTAGGAGTCATCATCCAGAACAGTAACTTTTCAAACTTTCACACAGGACTCAGTCATAGTACACACTACCACCAGTGTAAGAACCCCACAAAAGGAAGACTTTAATTAAGGTGTCAGGGTGTGAGATACTGTACTTTATCTCTCTGACCCCATGCTGTATACAGTTAGCCCTCCGGAGGAGAAACTTGGTTGATGGAAAACTGTGAAGAAAAATCATTTTGCTCAAAGACTGCTTTCAGACCATACTTTATGGTAAATTTGAACACATTAATTATGCCCCTTTCCCTACCATCCAAATAAGGACCTCGTGAAGGAATTCCAGATACCTTCTTTTGTTTGATGAGCTCCAAAATTGTGCCTGTGGGGAACATAAGGCAGTATTTATCTCTCTGTGTAGGGAATGGTCCATTAGGATTGAAATGTACCATTAGGACTGAAGATTCTGGGCAGTCTGGTATCCTTTCACATGTTCAGTGTGGGGCGATTCAAGGGTGGGTGATGGAGGGAGTTGTCATGTTTGTAAAGTCATCAGTTACTTCCATATGTGAGATGCCTGTCATTATCTCTGCTTGGTAGGCACTGATATTGTTTCCAGGAATGCTGTGGTCATGTCTCCCATGTTTATGTTTTCTGTTGGTGTTCTTTCCTGTCGTCTCCTGGACTGAGTCCATATAGGGCATAATCAGAGCCTGGAAGTCTTAATCTTTGGACTACAGCTTCTAGAATTCTCTGTCCAGCATGGCCGCTGATCATATAGGCTGGAAGTTTCTAGATGTTGTGGCTTCAAAAGTAAGTTTTGCCCGCTCTGGATCTGAAAACTGTTAGCCTGATATAGCAGCAGAGGCCACCTCCACCCCAACCCAGGAGTAAATTATAGGATAAGTCATTCAGTCAATCACAGACCATACTGAAAGACATCTAGCTTCTTTTTGAAACTAACACCTACATCAGGGATGTTATACTCTAATAGGTCAGTATAGAAAGATTTAAAAACTTTCCCCTTGTCTTTACAAGCATCAAAGAGAGGGTTTCCTGTATAGGACTTTGTTTCGCAAATGAATGCTGAATTTGCAGGCAAAATAATGCAGCCTTCCTGTCATCTGACATGTCTCTTGTCAACAGGAGATACTCAACCTCTGGATGTCTCTTCAGTACATCGCAATAATATATTTCTAAAGTACTGTGTATCGCTATTGGGGTATGGTTTTTATGGAGATGTATTAAAAGACAGTGAAGCGAAACGCTGGATGGGCCCAGTCAGATATGACTACTCAGGTAAACTTCTTTAAGGTTTATTCCATCCATTCTTTTGTGTAATCCTAGTATTCCCCAAGATAACATTCCCTGATAACTTGGGCACATCTGGAAGATCCCTAGTTGGAGATGGCTAGTATAAACCTGTTGCAAACCAAGTGCTTAAAAATGTTTATTGATATTCTAATTCTTCTACTTGGCCTCTGTGAAGCCACACATCTGGGTTTAACTGCACTTGCGCTGGATCCTCAGAATATTCTAAAGCTTGAAAAAGAAACAATAGTAGTACGTTGTCCTTACCATGCATGCTCCACCCGCCCAAATCTCAGTTCCTTTCTGCTGCCATCGCAATTGGAACCTTCTTGCTAGAGCTCATATCTTACTGATTCTAACAGATTGTCTCCCTCATGTATGACCAGAATACCTTACTTCGTTTATCTTGTATGTTGCTCTTGATTGTATTTGGACTGTTTTGGATTTCCTCCCCTTCTTTTGGACTGATTCCCCCCCCCATGACTGGATTTGTTTATCAGCTTCTTTCGCTTAACATTATGGAGTTCTTGTTATTACTTCATGATTTTCGGATTGACTTAGACTGGCTTATACAATTCTCTTGCAGTGAGTACTTACCGATTTATTCCAGCCGTGAGACTGGCCTTTTATGGCCTCCGTGGGTCTGTTCAAGTGTTGCGTGTCCTGTGCTGCCAAGATCCCCTTCACCGACGGACACGATCACTGTTTATTTTGCCTAGTGGAGGGTCACCAGCCCCGTTCCTGCCCACATTGTAAAAACCTTTCCAAGCCTGCGCTAAAATCTCGTGAACAGAGGCTTAAAGCTTACCTCGGGAACAAGTCTCTTTCTCCCGCCAAATTGGAAATGGAATCAGGTGCTGCTCAACAGTCCGCCCCTCGTCCTGATCCTTCGGCGGCGGCAGCGGCCACGGCCTTGATAGCGAAAGTCCTACAATGTCATCTAAGAAGGGGTCTGGATCAGTTTCAGAAAAGTCATCGACTCTGACCTCGACAAAGCATTCATCTGCAGTCAGCCTGAAAAGTAAGAACAAACAAGAAAGTAAAGACCTCTTCTAAGGATCGGCATCGTGATTTACCACCAATCTCAGAGTCACTACTTTCACCTATTTTGGAGGAATCCTCCAGGGATGTGCATGATACCAAGTCTGTCTCAGACATCGGGACTCCCGCTCATCCACTATCTGCACAGACTCTTCGCTCGCTACTGAGCTGCTCCCGAGTCCAAGCTGTTTGCAGGCTGAGATCACTTCCAGCCAAGCTTCTGCCCATTCTAGTCCTGTTAACATCGGGCGGGTGATTATCATACGGCGTTTGGACTCAGAGGATTGTAGAGGGCACACGTCTCCTAGAAAGAAGACTGCTAAAAGGAGACAGTGTTCACATCGGAAAGTGGTTGTGATCTTGAGAGGCTCCCGGCATCGAGCATCTCCTGATGAACCTGTTTATGTTGAAGTCCAGTGCAAGGCTGGTTGACGTCGATACCGAGATGACTTCGACACCGAGAAATATTATGAGGTTGACAGTCAGGACAAACAGAGAATTAAATATACTGTATATATATATAGTTCTTCTTCATCCCATTGCCATCTCCACCTCGACATTGACCAGACTATGACACCAAAGGCCCGACACTGAAGTTTTTAGACACCAATCCCAGTATAGAACATCTCTAGTACCTTCGACATCGACATCAAAGAAAATCCATTCTTCTGTCAATGCTCCTATTCCGTCTCTCGCACCAACGGGTAAACATCAAAAGGTTGTATTCTCAAACAATCAGGTCCTTTTTATTTTATTTTTTAAAAAATTCTACTACTACACAGAAAAAATAAACAGAAAACACAATAAAATACAATTACATATCACACAGTGCCACCTTCACCTTCAGGGCCACCATTACACTTCATTCAATCCATTTTCCCTCCAAAAATGCATAGTTTCTTCCTTCGGTGTATACCCCTTCCCTCTCCGAAATACATATTCCAAAAATACATTCCATGTTTTCTTAAAATCATTATTTTTTGCTTGGCCTCTTCTTATTTTCATATCATATGTCAGTTTGTTAGTAATTGCCATGTCCCATAATTCTCTATACCATTCCTCTAGGCTAAATTGATTATCATTTCTCCAGTTTCTTGCAAATATCAGTCTTGCAGCCATAATCATTATTACTATTAAATCCTTATTTTCTTTCAGTAATTGATCCTTATTGACCAAATTCAATAATGCAGTTAATGGTGACATTTGAATATTTAGTCCTATTGTTTCACTTATTTCTTTAAAAATTTGATTCCATTCTTGCTTTCTTAATTCACATAACCACCACATATGTATATACGTCCCCTTCTCTTTTTTACACCTCCAACATAATGATGATACACTTTTATCTATTATGTTCATTTTTACCAGCGTTAAATACCACCTCCATATTACATTATAGCAATTTTCTTTCATCCTTAGACATGTTCTTCATAATTCTTTGATCCCATATTTTATCCCATTCTTCACCTATTACTTCTTTATCTAAATCACATTGCCATTGCATTCTTAATCCTTGTGTAGCCTGTTCAGCTTGTTAATAGTTTGTGTATTTGGCTTACAAGTCCTTTTCTTTCTGTCTTTTCCTCTGATTTCAATCTTTTTTCTGTAATCTCAAATTTTGTCATTTTTCCACTTTTCCCTTCTTTACTATTCCATTCGCTTGTCCACCTTTCTAATTGGATCTTATTTAACCATGAGATCCCCTCTCCTCCTAATACCTTTTTAATATTTTCTTTATCTTCCATCTTCTCCATCCAATCTTTTAACCTATTTATCTCTTTACATTTTAATATATTCACTAATTTTTAAGTTTTCAGGAAAATTCCTTAACTTCACCACCTGAGATAAAGGGGAAATCGGTGGACTCAGTAAACCTCTAAACTTTTTCCAATTTTCTAACTTATTTTTAAGGAAATGATTAGTAATCTTTTTAATCTCTTCTCCATTTTTTTCTTTAAATATACTTTCCACTCTTTCTACCTTACCCTCCATTTCTATTTCTGTCCAGATTAAATTTTTATTACCCTTAATGATATCTGGGATATGTCTGCGCTTCGAGCTGATTCACCTTATTTTCATTTCTTCCCGGACAAAGTAATTTTATACCTGGATATCTCCTTTCTCCCTAAGGTTGTCTCATATTTTCACATTAATCAGCCATTAACTATCCACATTGTTTCCTAAACCCTCTTCGGATGTTGAGCACATGCTCCACTTGTTAGATGTTCGCTGTGCTTTGGCCTTTTATACGTCCAGGACTAAAGACTTTTGCACCTCTCCCCGTTTGTTTGCTTCCATGGCTCTCACAAAGGCTGTCCTGCAACTTCAGACTATCTCAAGATGGATTGTGTCTATGATTATTTTGCCCTATGAATTGTCGGGTAAAACCCCACCTGAGGCTTTGAAGGCACATTCTACCAGCTCTGTGGTGACTTCAATGGCCCTGATGTGTGGTGTTGACATTTCTGATACCTGCAAAGCAGCCACATGGTCCACCCCGTCCACCTTTGTGTCTCATTATCAGTTGGACCTCAGGGCTAAGAAGGAAGCTGCTTTCGGGACAGCTGTGCTTACATCTGTTTTGGAATGACGGCCCACCTTCCGGTAAGTGAGCTTGCTAATCACCCAGTTGTGTGGATTCACAGAGGCCACATAGAAGAAAGAGTGGTTACTTATCTGTGACTATGGTTATTCTAGTGGTCCTCTGTGAATCCACACATCCCGCCCGACCTCCCCACTGTCCGTCACTCTTGGTCTTAGCATTAGAGCTCTGATGACGGTGGACTCTGGAACTAAGGTACACGGGCGGGCGGAGCATGCGTGGTGAAGGCAACATACTACTAATGTTTCTTTTTCAAGTTCTAGAATATTCCGAAGATCCAGCACAAGCACAATTAAACCCAGTTGTGTGGATTCACAGAGGACCACTAGAAGAACCATAGTTACAGGTGTAACCACTCTTTTTGTAACGTTGTAGTAAGTATAGGCAAAATTTTGCCTTTTGAACGACCATTGAAACATTCTGATGTAGAAGTGAATATTGTCTAATTCAGTGTTACACGTAAATATTAGAGCAGGAAAATGAGGAGAATAATCATCATCAACTTCTACTGTGGTGTTCTAAATGAACAACTGAAGATTTGCAGTTAAGATACCGTATTTGCTGGCGTATAAGATGACTTTTTTGGCCCCAAAACATGCCTCCAGGAAGGCAGGCAGGCAGTCGGTCCTGATGGAGGGAGGGAAGCAGAGATGGCCATGCCTGAGTGGCCAGAGCTCGCCGTCGGGCTGCCTGCCGCCCCACGCCACTGAGTCATCTGCCCACTTGCTCGCCCGCCACCAGATAACTGTTTCTCCTCCTCCTCCTCCGCTGCTGCTGCCCACCCAGCCACTTCCCCTCCTCTTCACCGCTGAGCCAGCTGCCCGCCCACCGGCCCCGGGAGAACTGCTTCCCCTTCCCCTCCTTTTCCTCTGCTGACGCCGCCCGCCTGGCCCTTCCCCTCCTTCTTACCCTCCTCGTCGCCAGCCATGAACTTCCAAGGCGGGCCCAGACAGAGCCCCGGGTAGCCGCCACCGGCACCGCAGCAGAGCCGTCCACTCTATATTTTGAGTGGAAATGTTAGGGGGGGGTCGTCTTATACAACCAGTCGTCTTGTATACCGCCACCAGATAACTGTTTCTCCTCCTCCTCCTCCGCTGCTGCTGCCCACCCAGCCACTTCCCCTCCTCTTCACCGCTGAGCCAGCTGCCCGCCCACCGGCCCCGGGAGAACTGCTTCCCCTTCCCCTCCTTTTCCTCTGCTGACGCCGCCCGCCTGGCCCTTCCCCTCCTTCTTGCCCTCCTCGTCGCCAGCCATGAACTTCCAAGGCGGGCCCAGACAGAGCCCCGGGTAGCCGCCACCGGCACCGCAGCAGAGCCGTCCACTCTATATTTTGAGTGGAAATGTTAGGGGGGTCGTCTTATACAACCAGTCATCTTGTATACCAGCAAATACAGTACTCATAACTGCTTTTGTCTTCCAAAGAGCAAGTTGTTTAACTCAGCCATGTAACAACCAAGCCTTTCTTGTTTCTTGCAAAACTACAACTGAGCAGAATGTAGGAATCACAAGGCATCACAGAAGCAATGGCTCCAAATTACAGTATCAGTTCTCTTTCACGGGGAGGAGGTCATTTGTAGCCTTTCAGATGTAATTGGACTGCAGTTCTCATCAGTCCTTATTAACATTGCCCATGGAGTGGGATGATGGCAGTTGTCATCCAGCAACATCTATGACAGGGGTGGAACACATGCAGCTCCCCTCTCTAGAGGGCATTATTCTCTTCTAGACAAGGTGAGGCATGGGTGCTTTATTCTAACCAAAGTTCCATGCCTTCCCATCATCTTCATTTTCATTTTGAGGGTTTTCATGTGGATCTCAGAGGGTACTTTGTTCACTGAATTTGTCCCAAAACACAAGCTAGCTTTGCCGTTTACAAGCAAGCAAGCCTGCCACTCTCCTGTTCTCACTTCCCTCTCATGAAACGAAGTGAGTCTGAAGAGGAGCATGAATGCGCTCCACTTGAATAAGCCATGCTTGCCTGACTGAGAGAATCTCTCTACCCAAGTAGTAACCTCCTCTCTTCAAAGTCATCTTTTTCCACATGAGAAAAAGTATGATGGGAATATGACTACATACTCCCTTGCATACTTATGGAGTGAAATGGGGATGGTCGCATGTGAAAATGGCTTCCGTTGCAGCTGGGCTGGGTGGGGGCATAGCGTAGCAAGAAAGCACCAGTAAAGGAAGGAGTCTTCTGAACACCTGAAGTGACAAAACCATCACAGAGAATGTGGTTGCCATGGGCTTACGGTTACACTTAGCTAGCACTGAAAGAACACATCAGGTGCACTTTTCTTGGAGTGAGAGAAGAGAGGAAGGGAGATGGGATAACAACCAAGGAATAAAAACATAAGAAGCAAGTGGGATTTTCTTTGCAATACTTCAGGATTATTGTCAGAAAGAATAAAAAGAGGACTTTTGTATGGATTTGAAAGTATCAGTAATTCCTTAATAATTTTCTCCCTCTCCAAGGTTTCAAGACTTTTCTCTCTCATCATTATTATGAGGGAACGGTATCCCTTTTACCAGCAGCACACACTGTGGGATCTCCGAGAGATAAAAAATACTGCAGAACTGGGTAGGCTAAATGCAATTTGGCATGATTTTGTTTTTTCAGTCAACACTGCTCTATGCAGCTGGGGGATTTTGTGACTTGTAGTTTAATAAACTAATCTTTCTATGGTAGGTAACCTCATTTGCATTAAAAAGGTGCCAGATTCTGTCTCTGGCATATCAAAGCAAAGCTGGGGAAGAGCCCTGCTGAAAACTCTATAGACCAGCTTGGGTTACCTGCAACCTTATGTCTACATTTCAAAAGTTCTCTGCAAGCAAGCAGTTTAGGTGTCCAGCAACTTAAATAGTTTCTGCTTGTTTCCACTGTTCAAAGAGGAAGAAATTTAAAAAAGGATGTAGCAAATAGAAAGAAAGAGGGGGGAAAGGACAGCCCTGTTCAGTGGTGGCTGCAGCTCTCACTGCTGTCAGTATGCAGCCTCCAGAATATTTTTTTTTTACAATGAATGTGTTTGTCAGCAGGACAAAAGATAAAATTCCTCTTTTTGGTATGGATAATAGGAGCTAAACAGACCAATGGTCCAATTTGGTACAAGGCTGTTTCTCATGTTAACAGGAAAATCTTCTTAGCAGCCCTACAAAACCCTGCATAGCACAGGCATGGTGCTACCACAGTAGAGAACAGATTCCTGCAGAGTCGCTAGATCCAGATTACCCACTCAAAGAAACCCAGTGATGAGAGGAAGCTCCCACGCCAACCCCCACTCTCTCACTCACTTATATATATATAGATAGATAGATAGATAGATAGATAGATAGATAGATAGATAGATAGATAGATAGATAGATAGATATAGATAGATAGATAGATAGATAGATAGATAGATAGATAGATAGATAGATAGATAGATAGATAGATAGATAGATAGATAGATAGATATAGATATAGATAGATTCCAGCAATTTCTGGAAATAAATTTTCCTCCTGTAATTTGATACCTGGAGAAATGCCTTCCCAGAAAAAGACTTGCCTGATAGCAGCCCTGTCTATCATCCCTGACAGAGGGAAACCCAGAAGCAGCTTCCTTCCATACCCAATCCCTCTGAATGTTAAGGAAAGCAAATTTTAATGCTCTAAAGCACTTTATTTTGGAAAATACAAGTGCTTTGGGTTTCCAGATTGTTTCAGTGTGTCTGCCAGTTATTTGTATGAAAATCCTCTTCAGAGTTGACTATCCTGGAGAGAAAGAGGGAAACTCTTCAGCTCTGTGGTGTTCGCTGGCAATCAGGTTCTTCCCTGAGGTTTACCTGCCTCCATTTTCAACCAAATGATCAACCCCAGGCAGAACTCAGAAAAGATAACAGAGAATTACAAACTGTAGAATCCCCTGGGCAGCATGGCCATTGTATGACTGGCATACTGACTAGATTATTATGGCAGGTGTACTACAAAGAGGAATTTCTCCAAGCTCTGGCTCCATCTTCATCAGTGTCCTTTACTGCCAGGTCCTAGAAACAATGGGAGGTTGAAGTCAGATTTCATCTGAGCCCCACCTGGGCATTCAATGCAAAGTTGAGGCTGGACTTCTGCTATAGGATATGGAAGAGCTCCCTGGTGTTCACCCTTCTGTGTCCCTTTAGGGTCCCACATGCTTAAGATTATGGACTTCCTTCACTCTCCTCTCCCTCATTTCTAGTGCCATCTCATTCTGTGCAGATGGTCATGTGAGTATGAAGCTTGGTTTAACCTGCAGAGCCCTGGGTAAATAGAAGTGGCCATCCATAATAGCCGCTGATGTCTTAAAGACACTTCTTGGATTTTTTAAAAATAGGTTGCAACTCAGAACAAAGAGAAAGGTTGGAAATCAGCTAGTTTAGAGGAAAGCCAAACATCTCAAATATTACAAAAATATAGCCTCAAAACTCAGAGTTGTTCAGAATAGAATCCCTTGAAGTCTGGGGCATAAGACTCCCAGCTCATTTAAATTAAATCTAAAATGTTATTTGCAGCAGACATACAGCATTGAGAAGCAGTATAACAATGTTAATGTACTATTCAATTAGTTCTGCTTTCGCTGGCAAGAAGAATTCATGTTAACTCTTGTCCTTCAGGTGCCGCATTTGCAAACAAAGTAAACAACAGCTGGAGAAAGAGCATCGGAAGTATGGAACAGAGATTAAAGGTAGATTAAGACTCTGTGAAAGTCCCATCCTGGATAGTTGATTTTTTCATTTGGCCTCTGAAGCATTTGTTCTGTTGATGACAAATACAGAGACAGATTACAAATTTGGATGAGTAGAAGCTGAATTAGTATTGAAGCCAAGGGGAAATTCATCTGGTTTTCTGCCCAGCCAGGCTTCTTGTAAAAATGTACTTTTCTATTTACTGTTTTTAATGATCATTCACTATAAATGATTATGATTCCCAGTAGAGTCTACTTTCATTTGCCAGCAATTTCCTTTGCTCGTTTTCAAACTTAGAGGTCATTATGCCACGTTCAGTTTGACAATGGGTTGGATATGCTGGCTGCAATTTCATGTTTTACCTGCAAGCACACTGCATTGAGTTTAGTGGGGCTTTCTAAGTAAATATTCACTAGATTGTGCTCCAAGTTAGCTGAATTTAATTCCCATTAAAATTAATAAGACGTAAGTCATAATTTACCTGTTCCATTGATTTCCATCATGAAACTGAAGTGTAGTATGGATCCAGTCCAGTGCCTTCATTGAAAGTGTGGTTACAAACATACTGAGAAGTTCTCCAAACTTTCGTACTGTTGTTCCACCATTACAGAATGGTGGTCCACAGAGAACGGCTGGATCTCCATGGGATAGAGTGAACCAGATGATAATGGTTATCTCCCTTATTAAAAGGCTCCTGATTTCTGCATCTCAATATTCTCTTAAAGATAGAAGAACAGGCCATGTGGGAGACAGGGTTGGGGTTCTGGCTAGTTATATTCCATTATAAAACTCTTCTGGGTAGGTTGCAATATACTGGTGGAAATCCACTAGTAAGTCACAAATATGAAGGGCCCATTGTATCGGTGGAACTTAGAGAAGAGTTGAATCACCAAATCCCGATTGATTCCATGGGCCTACTCTAGTTGCAACATACTGCTGAATTTCAGCCATTGTGTATCAATATAAAAGCAGCAAAACAAGTCAAAAGTGTAAAAACCACCATTTCTAGACCCATTCCACTCTCTAGATCTAAAACAAAGGATTGTATTTTGATACTGTAGGTACATACATAATTCTTTAATGTAAACTCTGTATCATATATAAACCTATCTAGAAGAGCCTCGTGGCACAGTGGTTAAACCGCTGTACTGCAGCCAAAACTGTGCTCACGACCCGGGGTTCAATCCCAGGTAGCCGGCTCAAGGTTGACTCAGCCTTCTATCCTTCTGAGGCGAGTAAAATGAGTACCCAGCTCGCTGGGGGGGGGCAATGTGTAGCCTGCATAATTAACTTGTAAACCACCCAGAGAGTGCTTGAAGTGCTATGGGGCGGTATATAAGCAGTACGCTTTGCTTTTTTTGCTTTTAGAAGAAGCCAGCCCAAAGCCAGTAAGCAGCAGTCTGACATCTAGCTGGAACACAGCACATGCTAGCCAGTGGGATCAAGCACTTAACTAAATAGCTGTTGAAGACAGAGATGGGGGAGTGGGAGATTTTCTGTGTGGCTATGCAGTCCCAACTCAGCCTTGTGCTTCATGTCCAGACCTTCACCTTGACCCAATCCCTGAGGATGATTTGCAGCAGTAAACTGTTGTAACACCACCAGCACCCATCCAGATAGCACAGCACAAGATATGAACTCCACACTTGTATTTCTGGAATAAAAGCAACACCACACAGCATGATCCCGCCACATGGCAACTATTCACTCAGGGAAGGTTTGCCTGAAGAGAAAGATATTTTGCCTGCTTGCAAAAGGACAGGAAAGATGAGGCCAGTCTAGCCTCCTGTCAGAGGGAGTTCCAGAGTCTGAAAGCAGCAACAGACCTCTGCCATGTCCCCACCAAACACACTTGTGAAGGTGGCGGGACCGAAAGGAAGGCCTCTCCTGATGATCTTAAGATTTAAGCAGGCTCATAAAGGAAGATGCAGAGCTTGAGATAGCCTGGGCCCAAGTTACTTAGAACTTCAGAGGTCAGAACCCTTTGAATTCTGCCCCAAAATGAATCAGCAGTTACCTGAAAGTAAGTCCTACTGAACTCAGTGAAGTTTCCTCTTGAATAGATGTGCATGGGATTATACTGTAAGCAATACTCTAGTATTTTCTCCCCCCCCCCCAAAAAAAAAGATAAGGTTTAATGTCATTTAACAGACAAACCTTTCCTCCTTATGACCTGAAGTGACAGACAGTTCCCCTTTGTCATGCTCTGCTGTAAATAACAAAATTCCACAACAACCGTATAGACAGGTTATAGGTGAAAACATTACATGTTTGTAGTTTTCACCTGTTCTTAATGACCCAGCATATTATAGAATGCATTGTTGCTGACTGTGTGCATAACAGCATCAGCAGTGCCTTCAAACTTGTTGAAAAAGTGCCTGTCATTAGAAATAGTGGCTTTGCTTTTCCATCTTCATAAGTACGCCTGTTTATGTTTCAAGGGGACGAAGAAGGAGAGTGGAAGGTTATTAGAGGGAAGTTTCTAGCCATCAATGCAGCAAACATCAGTTGTGCTTGTCCACGGAGTCCAAAAGGCCTTTCACCAGCTGCTCACTTGGCAGATGGCTCTGCAGATCTCATTCTGGTTCGCAAATGTTCCCGCTTGAATTTTCTGAGGTACCTTGTAAGGCATACTAACCAGGATGATCAGGTGTGTATTTGCTCTGTAAAGCCATGATATTTTCAAGAGGAGAAGGGAAGCCAAAACCCAGTCCAGTTTAATGCTGGGGAAGAGCTTTCTGGATCGCCCCCCCCATAGGGTTTCTTCACCTTTTAAAATCTATGTCCTTGTCAGGTAAACATAAAAATCTCTCACACGTGTTGATTCAAGCTTCCTTCTGATAGTGGTTTTACCTGAATTTTGAATCAGTCGTGACTTGGATTGGGAGAGATGGGTGGGCATCCGTTCCGCAATTAAACTGGCACTTCAAATGGGAAGAAAAAATTTAAGGAATGGCTAGTGCCAGAGAAGGAACAGACCTGGTGTCAAGATTCTTTGTGGTTCACTGAAGTTCCCAACCAGCCGGACTCTTCAGGCTGATTGCTCAGGTACTGACTGAGCACCTGTTTCTGCTGACCAGCTTGTCTGCCCACCTGTTTGTCCACCTCTCTGTTTCTTGGCTGAGCTGTGTACTTGGTCAGAACACACTGGTCTTCAGATTCTGTGTCCCTGCCAGTTCTTCTCCCACAGAATGGGAGGGAAGGCACATTGTGGAAATTAGAGTCTAAAAGTATCTGGAGACCATCCATTCGCCATCTCCGATAGGCATGATTTAGGTGAAGAGCAGATTTGGGCCAAGCTCTGAAAAACAGCCTTGCCTCTCCTCCTGCACTAGGCAGGCATATTTGACATTTCATCCCTCCATCATCCTCGTCTGCTCCTGGTTGTCTCATCAGCTGCACAAGCACCTTAGGCAATAATCTGGGAAAATAGCTTTTCTGTTATGGTGTGTGCTTCTGGAATAGCCTCCCCTTCCACCGACACAGCATACACCTTTTGCTACCTGCTATAATGACATCTGTTTAACTTGGTGGTTTTAATACTTATATCTTGATGACTTTTTTGTTGTTGTTTTTATTCACACATTTGTACTTTCATTTAATTGTGGTTTAGCGAATTTGTATACTGCTGTGGAATTTTATTAATGAAGGGTGGTATATAGATATATTAAATCAGTAAATAATAAATCCCATATCAAAGTGGAGGGACATTCAGCTGCTGTTGCTAATAGTAATGGCGGTGATAGCCGTGGCTGTAGAGAAAATAAAGCTTAGTTTAAGCAATAATGGAAAGTAGAAAAAAAAGTGAAAGCACTAGTAGAAACAAATAGCTTTCCAGCTTTGAAGTGTCACCACAGAAAAGAGAAGAATAATGTGTAACTTTCACTCAGTTACCATAGTATCTTATTTATGAACTCAGCCCATACAGTTTAGTTAAGAATTGATGAAGATACATCTGTTGCATTAGCAAGAAATGGAAGTTTACCATGCCTTACTGAATTTTAAGTAGGACACATTCTGGAAATTCATGATCATTCTAAAAGCCTTTGGGGAAACAGCAATAAGAATGGTAATGAGCTGACCTATTAGTCTTCTTAACTTGGCAGAAGATGTCTTTCTTCCATGAAGCTCACTGGGGAGTATTGGCCTGATTTTTCAGGAAATAAATGCAAGGAAATCACCCCTTGTCATTTCTCTGCAGTTTGACTTCAGCTTTGTGGAGGTTTATCGGATCAAGAAGTTTCAGTTCACATCCAAGAATTTCGAAGATGGTGACCATGATACCAAGCATATGAGGAAAAAACACTTTGGGCAGTTCTGCCGGGATCACCCGGCCTGTTGCTGTGTCCTTCCCAACAGCACCTGGAACTGTGATGGAGAAACTCTGGATAGTTCAGCCATTGAAGTCAAGTGAGCTTCTCCTTTCTAGCCGATAGACTTACATATAGCAAAATGATTGAGGAGCACCACTCGGTCATTAGTACTGTGATCAATGCCCAAGGGAGGGGTGGGTTCAAAACTGGCTGAAGCCCTTCCACAGCACTGATATTTGGCATAGGCACCCTCTGTGGAAAGTCTCTAAAATGGTACACAGTGCGTCAGCTCTTGGGTCACCTAACCCAGCACTGCCAATACAGACTAGAAGTGGGACCGGCAATTTATGGCCCCGCCCTGGATGCTGCTGGACTACAACTCCCAGCGTTCCTTAGCATTGGCCATGCTGAGTGGAGCTGATGGAAGCTGTAGTCTTGCAACACCTGGAGGAGCACCAGACTCCCACCCTTGCTCTCCAGGGTTTCAAGCAGGAGGTTGGGCTTGCTGCTTTGATGACCAGTAGTTCATAACTAACATAGTTAAAGACTTGTGGGATTTCTTTGTCTTGCAGGGTCCACTGTCAATTAATGAAGCTCTTCGCAAGAGGAATAGAAAAATCCAAATGTGAAGCAAAATACATGCAGCTTACCTGAGTAATTAGCTCAGCCCTCCATGAAACGTGAGCAACAGACAGCAGCTGCCTAGACAATTAAGCATTTCAGGCACATGAATAAACGTTTTAAAGCTGAATTTTGGGAATAATGCTTTTGTATGGATGGCCTCAAAGACTTCCAATTTATGCAAATCGCTCTATTCTAAAATGCATTTCGGTACAATAGGAAGGATAGCAGTTGGCTTGCTCTATTTTCTTCCTTCCTTTCATTCTTCTTTCTCCTTGTTTCCTTCAAACTATTTCTGTAGCTATACTGCAGTAACAACTAGGCATACAATCCAGCAGTTTTAAATTAGCCCTGTAAATGAACATCCCCACATGCATTAGCCTATGTGTTTTTGTTTTGTTTTGTTTTGTTTTAATGATCAAAAGGAGTCTCCTGCAAACAGACCAACAGTGCAATCCTCACTCAGAGATGCGTTGGCTGCAGGGACTTTGAAATAAGCAGCAGCTTTTGTTTTCCAGCAGAAATGTCTTGCCCAAGCAGATCTCAGAAATGTGCCAGCAAAGGGATCTGCCAGCAAAACTGCTCTTTTGACTAAAGCTTGTCAGCAGAAGAGCCAAAAACACAGACAGAGAAGGAGTGTAACAGGGGAGGAGTTGAATCATGCCAGATCCAAATTTCCTCCAGCCTAGAGACACTGTCATTGTGCTAGCACAAAGTTAGAGCAAGGTGAGGATAATTCTATGTCATTTCCAACATTGTAGGCTGTGAAAGGCTTGGATTCAGCATAGTATCAGTGAGTCCTTGGCCATCTTTGTTAGGCGGGATTGCATTTTTGGTCCCCTGTGTTTCATTGCTGGCCATGGAGAATGGGACATCCCTTTTTTTTTCAACCAACACAGAAATTCAGGATACTATTGTTTGGCTAATTTCAGGAAGGTGTGGTCTTCTTGCTTCTGACTGTCTCCCGTCAAGCATTCTGGAAGAGGAGGCAGGAACAGAAGGGAGGAACAGAAGGGAGAGATGGACTGTCCTTCCTCTGTGACCAGTACAGAAATAAAATAAATTGGTGGAAGAGAGTTAGAGAATCCTAGCCATCTTGCACCTGTCCACTCACTTACTGCATAGAATTTCATGCACATGTGTGCACATAATTTGTCATCTGTGGCTATGTGGTGAGAAAAACTTCTAAAAATATATATTTTGGCCATGACTATGTGCAACCGACCAGCCAACCAACCGACCAGCCAACAGGACTAAAGTATAAAGTTGTAGTTCAGAAAAGTAACTTCGTTAAGTTCTGCTGGTGCATGGCAAGTTGTTTAACATACAGTAAAACTATAGTAGCATTGATGGGAGTTTTGCCACTGAGTTCGTTGGGATCATTGATCCCACTGTGCAAATTATTTCCACCGAGCTCTCATCTTACAAGTTGATCAAACACCATGTTTTCAAAGAAGTTACTAAACTGTGATTTCTTTGTCACTCAGTGTGATTTAAAGGCTCCAAAGCAGCAAATGTTTCATTCCATCACTTCATTCAGTTTCTCCTGAAATGATGGAAACATCATAAACATCATTCATTACTTGAATGTAACAACATTTTGCAATTTATCAATGCAATCGGAATACACATTCATGGCTTTAAGTAATAAGGAATGTCTTACATCTGTACATTCTGGAACACATATTAATACAGAAACCAATATTATAGCTTTAGGAATTCATTTGCTTTTTTTCTTAAATGGATTGGATATGAAGGGACATCTGAAGCTATGTATAGCCAGAGCAAACACAAAGATATTGAAGCGGCTAAAATGGCATAGTAATAGGAAGGAAGGAAGGAAGGAAGGAAGGAAGGAAGGAAGGAAGGAAGGAAGGAAGGGACCGAATTTTTAAAATCTGATCTGATCTGTTAAGGTATCAGATGATCTTGTATTTTAAAAATGTATTGGAACTATACTTTAATTCTATAGAGAGAACATAGTTCACATTCATGTCATGGGTATTTTCTGACTCTCTTTTACTATTGCAGCTTCTTGCTTTCTTCCCTTCCAAAATGGTTCCTGAAGGGATTGTGACCTTTGGGAGTGGCATGTAATATTTTGGGAGGGAGGAGCTGCAGATAGAGGGAAGAGTTGGGAGAAATTATCCCCCTAACATAAGACCAGTGTTTTCTTCTTCACTGAAGCCATTTTGTACAATCAGCAGAAGTGAGTGACAAAAACAATTCCTCATTATTTTCTTCGAAGAGTGAGACTTGTTTCCTTTGCTTTTAATGCAGTTTTGTGATTGCTTCTGCCATGGTTGGTACAGAACTAAATTTGCTAACTATTATTGTTTCATCTGTTTTAGATTTGTTTTACCCCCTTTAGAATCCTTGTGCAGAGGAGGTGGCTTGCAAATATTTTAGATATATAAGTCTTTCTTGGTGGTCCGGCTACAGACCACAGGTAGATGACTGTGTGAGAGTGCTGATGTACTAGACTTCTTCATGCAAGAAATTATTTTGGGCAGAAGGCAGCATTCAGACATTCAATCTGCTGCCTATAACCCAAAAGGCTACTACCCAAGGAAAGGACAATTTCTTAATTCTGCTGATTATATAAATTAATAACACAAAGACATCAGCTTCTGAAAGATTTGATAGCATGACCAAATATCCCTTCATACCACAGAGATTTTTAGAATGCATAGACAACTAGCAGGATGGCTGGCTGACATATTTTGCCTATTTAGTAACTACTGAACCCCATGTAAAAATCAGTTAAAAGGATTTTTATTTTGATATGTGACATTATGAGATGAAGCTGTTATTGAATAAATATTATTTGCCTAACAGGCAAAATCCAAAGAAACAAAACAAAGCCTATTACCGTATTTTTCCTTCTATAAGATGCTACTTTCTCCTAAAATCATTACCCTAAAAATTGAGGGATGTCTTTTACACTGAAGTAAGCTGAGATAGCTGCGGAAAAAACAAAACGGCCCATACCGAGCCTCTATAAACAGGCTTCCTTCAGCCACGAGGCTTAGTTTCCTACAGTCAGGAGACTTAGCTTCCTCCAATCACAAGCCTTATTGAACTGATGTCAGCTGATCCTGAACAAACAAATTGGAAGACACCTACCTCCTTGGAGGTGGAGCCTGTAGGCTCAAGATTCAACAGAGACAAAATGTTCTGAGCTCAGAGGCTGAATTCTCAAAGCTAAGTTTTCTTAATTTGGGGGTTAGAAAATTGGGAGGGTCTTATAAATGGAGGTGTGTTATAAACGGAAAAATACAGTATTTGCTACTATAACAAAAGAAACAGGACAGCCTTATAACAAGCTGCAGTGATCATGGAAATATATTAAAACACTTTGTTTTGTGCAGATTTTGTGTTTTGTGTAGATTTTGGACCATACTCTTGCCCGTGTAGTTGTTGAAGTTAATTTTGTATAGTTCTTCCTTTTCTGTTGAGTGTATAATGTTAGTGCATAATGTAAGTGCATCTGGCCAGTAGGACAGGGCTTCTAATCAGAGGAGCTCTCCATGCATGTTAATCCAAACATGCTTACTGCCCCATCTTCAAACTTCTGCTTTCAGTGTGCACAGGTCTAAATTGACATTTTTGGAAGGGGATGTGGCAGGCAGACCTTTCCTGCATCTTTACAACAAATACAGCATTATTCATACATTTAAGCAAATACCTGAAGAGAGCTTCTCTATCATCTCTAAACTATTATTTGTGGTGCTGGCTACTAATGGAAAAACTCTAGCTCTAACTTAAGAGCTGCCATGTTGCATTCCATGCACTTTATAGTTTCTCAGGACTGGGGCATGAACATCACATTCACAGAAATGACTGGGAATACACATCTAGATACCTTGTGATGAAAGTAATATCCTCGGAGCACTGAATTGGAGCTACTGAACAGATATTTCTTTTCATTTGCAGTCCGGTAAAATAAATTTTACATGTTATTGTTTTGTTATATCGTGCTGTCTTTGAGCTCATCAAATGCACTTCATCTGTAATACTAATCTTTATTTTTTTGCATTACAGTTCCGTTCTGGCAAGATTGGGGGTATCTCATCCCCCCCCCCAAAAAAAAACCTAGGATATATTGTAGCCTACTCTTGGTGGCAATTGGTATTACAGCCTAAAACAATCAGAAACATACTTTGTTAAAGTTGTGAGCGTCTAGACTCAGAACAAATTCAGAGCAATTGTGTGCACCTTACCATGTATAAAAGTATGTAGATTTCAACTGGAAGCAGAACTGAGTATCAATCAAATGAAAAATCCACCCTGAAAACCTAAGAGTAGTGACAAAGTGTGCCATGCCAAGTCTGATCTTATAAAATTTAGCATAAGTTTTTAAATAGAGGAAGAAGGCTCTCATGTCCACAAACTTAGGTAGCAAGTTAGGTCTGCATAATCTCCTGCATTGCAACTCCTCATTCCAGCTGTAACTGCCTGGTAGCACCACTGTTGCAAAGAAATAGTGCAAACTGGGCTGAAATAATGATATTTGAGAATGATGATCTTTCCTTAGACTGATATTTTGGAGACTGTATTCATCTTTATTTGAGTGGCTTTGTATTGCACAAAGTACAATCCATGCATATTGTAGCATATTCCATATTATTAAGATGAGAGCTCTTTAGCTCTAGGCTTTGATCCCAATACATGTTTCTTTTGTCATTCGGCCTTATGACCTTAGTGGGACTCGCTGCCTGGCAAACGTGTTAAGGAAGAATCTGAGTGCTTAAAACTTAGTTTAAAACTAGAATGAGCCTTCCAAATATGAACAGTGTGAGTGGGAAGTGCCATGTTAGCTTGTTGTTTTTCTTTATCAATCTTGCTGGCTTCAAGGTTGAAAAGCAACGATTTTATTCCTCTGTGCTGAAAAAGAATTCTTCTGAAAATAAAGATCTAAGTTATGTTGCAGACGTTATGCATTTGTCTCTTAAGTTTCTATATCCCAGGGATGGGCAATCTTAGCCCAGAAATTTCTCTTGCCTTACAACGTTGGCTTGTGTGCACTGATAACATTATGCAGATAATGTATGTTATTATATCCCTTCTGAGGCTTAACGTTTACAGTATGGACATAACAGTTATATGGAAATTCAGCCTCCATCAACA